GTTCTCAAGTCACCTCACTGTCCACTCATCCAGTCCACACCTCCTGAGTTTTCCTACAAGGATGTTGTGAGAGACAGTGTCAAAAGTTTTGCTGAAGTCAAGGTTCCAGTGCTCTTCCCTCCTCCATCCAGGGAGTTATTTCATCAGAGAAATCAATCAGGTTGGTCAAGCATGATTCATCTTCAGTGAATCCGTGCTGACTACTCGTGATCACTTTCCAGTCATCCATGTGGATAGAGATGGCCTCCAAAATGAACAGCTGAATTATTTCTCCAGATAACAAGTGTATGGAAGAGTTAAAGAAAATCTACACCAGAACACTTCTCTGTGAGAAGAAGACCCCTCTCAGGCATCCACCTGTTTCAGCGTGGGCTCCTTCACGGGCTGCAGGTGGATTTCTGCACCTCCAGAGATCTCCCTGGGCTCAGGGGCACAGCTGCCTCACCATGGGCTGGACCATGGGCTGGACCATGGGCTGCACGAGAATCTCAGCTCTGGTGCCTGGAGCACCTCCTGCCCTCTTTGTGCACTGACCTTGGTGTCTGCAGAGTTGTTCCTGTAACATATTGTCACCCTGCTCTTCTCTGTGCACAATTGCAACTCTACAAAACCTTTTTTAAGTCTTCTTAAATGTGCCATCAGAGAGGCATTACCACTATTTCTGATGGGCTCAGTCTTGACCAGTGGCACTTCCATCCTGGGCCTGGCTGGGACTGCCTCTGCCAGACATGGAGGAAGCTTCTGGCAGCTTCACACAGAAGCCACCTCTGTAGCTGCTCCACTACCAAAACCTGGCCAGACAAACCAAATACACCTCATCTTAGAAGTACCATGGAAAGTAACCCCTTCTTCTTAGTTCTTACTTGGTTCTGTACTTAAATTCACAGAAACACAGAGCAGAAGCAGAAGCCTTTGCATATGAATATTGAATGTAAATACACATACAGTACACAGACAACCTTGCAAACAGAAGAGGGGTGAAAATTCTCTCATACTCAAATAGAAATATTCCCAAGCATAACAAGATCAAATTTTCAACAGTCGGTGTAGCAAAACCTCTTTGTGGCATCTTTCAAYTTTATCCTTGTTTACTACATGCCTATGTAAATGCACCATGACCTTACTGATTTCAAGGGGATTACTCCTATGGTGCTTGCATTAAACCTCTACTAAGAAACAAGGTCAAATACCTCTGTGATAACTGAWGACTGCATTTCTGCTAAAACAATGGGAAATGATTTGTTAAAACACAAACGTAATTTTCTTACTGTGAACAGCTATTACTAATTTTAAATTTCTTCAGGTGATTACTTCAACATAAAATTATCTTAGTCAGGTAAGAGCACCTGTAGCTAAATTCCAAATGTTCCAAGTCCATTTCAAATATTGATATATACTTGCTCACAGGATTTCAGACTCAATTAAGGCTCTTTTAATCAGCCTTCTATAGACAAAGCATGGTTGTGATATAGTAAAATAAAAAAGTGGATCTTAAAAAAAAAATAAATTATTCTTATTAGCAAATGTAGAAAAAAMCTCCAAACTGAAGTGACTTACTTAGAATTTTCTATACAATCCACACCAGAACAAACATTTTTCAATTATAAAGTATCTGTACACATCCAGTTTTGGAATTAAATTCATGCCACTAACACATACACTGAAATCGCTGGATTGCTGGGCTCAAATTAGAGAAAATACAAATTGGAAATACTGAGTCAATTGGCATGTTAGAAAAATTGTGTCAAATAGATTATCACTTTGAGACTCCACTGCTCAATCCTTTCCTCCCTAATTTGCTATAAAAAGTTAGTTAGTTAGTTTTTTTTTTCTTTGATTGTTTTGTTTTTAAAGTTACACTGTCAGGTTCAGAACACTTTTCTTCCCCAAGATGAATCACAGTATTGCATAAGATGCTATCTTCACAATAAATTACCCCTCAATAAGTTCTCTGCTAAAATATACAGATGTGAACGTGTAGTGTGCTCTGACCTTTTAGGGAAATAYAAAATATTTCTACCCAACACAGAGAACATAGTATCTACCTGATAGCTGCAGTTTTCTAAGGATTAGCTTGTTCTTCCAACACCCTCTTTTGCAGAAATRAATTATATAAGCCCTTCTAACTAGCAGTTCTCAGGAAGTACAGGGCATCTCAAGAGTATAAATGTGCTTCAACATTTTTATTAAAAAAGAAATCTAAGAACTGGGGTTATGCTGCAAAACTAAAAGAGGAAAAATGCCTCAAGACATCCAGTCACATTTGAAAGCAGTTCAAATTTGAAATCCCTATATGCAGATGTTCACTTTGAAGTGTATTAGCTTCCAGCATGTGGAACAGAATACACATGATATGCCAAGACCTCAGTCCAACTACATGTTCTGCAGTTTATTTTTAGGGGGAAAGGAAAACAAGACATTTTACTCACTGCAGGTTGTCCAGCTTTGGTGATTATTCTAACTTGTATGAGGTTTTTAATGCTTCTAATGTTTGGAGCTGCATGTCTTCCTTCCTTACAAAGGCAGAGTTTAAGAAAGTGATGTCTAAGGTTTTCTTGAAGAACATTATTATTAAGGAAATACCAAAGTAGCCCTTCGTGGAGTTTGAGGCAGCTGCTTTTCATCCAGAAACTGCTGACTTCTGTATAATCTGACATCTTAGTATTGGTAACAGATGCATGATCAAAGACGGAAAGATGGCCTGCTCACAGGAGCAACAGAGCTCAAGACATGTTGCTGTCTTCCAAGGGTGTTTCCGCAAGAGGCATCAGGCTGTGTTTCCTGACATGGCATGAAATTTTCACTTCTGTTTCAAACAATGTATATTTCAAAGCTCTCACGTAACTCTGGCAGCTGAGTTGTATCACAAAGTATCCTCTGCCACTTAGAAACTGTATCCACCTCCACTCCACACAAGAAGAAAMTACTACACCAATGATTTTAGATGCCTACCAGACTGTACTGGAAGACCCGCTTGGTAGGGTCAATATTTGGAATCCAATATTCTTTTGCTATTAAAAGATTCCCATATTGTCACTTCTTTCCCCTTCCTGAATAAACTAGTAGCCTTACAGAATGAATAAAATCAGTTCCTCCTGCGAGAAAAATGTCAGGATACAAAAGAGGATCCTCTAGATGCACTCATTCCTTCACTATTGTCTCAGTAGTAACAAGATTTTGTTGAACACTTCTTGCTAGTTGTCTCCACAGGCAAATGGCTGTATGGAGCCCTTTCTACCCTGCAGCACCTCCTGAAGCCCATAACCCAAGGAACCACTCCTGCTCTACTCTTACTCCTTCACTGTTTCCCCCTCGGCCCTCAGGCCATCCACCAGTTACACCAGMTCTGAGCATTTTCAAACTCCTGAGTGCAAAGCTGTGACTGGAGCTCTAAGGTGGCTAGATATGCAGTAGCAATGCACATGCCTAAGGGGGA